ATACCGCATCATCTGGGCATGTCGCCAATGCCCAGCAATGAGTCTCGGCAGTCATATTAGGCTATCAGACTGGGTACCACAGCAAGAGCTACTCAACCATCCACGCACCAAGCTTTTCATCACTCACGGTGGACTGAAGAGGTAAACTTTGAATTTATTCGTAATTGGACATTTTTTGACAGATTTCTCCTACACCTTGATCATATCTTCAAGACAGCTTTTGTAAATTTCACGTAAACTAGCAGATAAAAAAAGTACAATTTCAGCCTCAAGGAAGCAACATGTGCCGAAATGCCAACCCTATTTTTGCCAATTCTGGGTGAACAGGTACGAAATTCGTGGCTCGCTTATCATCACGGTTTCGGACAAATTATCAACAAATTCAATGTTACAGCCGATTATCTCTTGTCACTTATTCAGGATATGCTTAATAATCCATCCTACAAACAAAATGCCGAGAAATTGAGGAGGCATGATTTTCTAGTACTCTGAATGAATTCCAGTTTTGTGTACAAGTCAACTTGACTGAAGATCCATAGCCCAGGCTAACGACATGAATTGCACGATATTTCCTAAGATGAACTTACTTGCCACGCATGGCTATGCAGTTTGTAAAAGTAAAATTTTTATAATATGATAATATGAAATAAGCTTATAATTTAATAATATAAAACAATGTAATGAGATAGTATTGGAACCAGATATTATGATGAAAGAGTCCTGTCTCGCTCGAATCGTTAAGCGCCACATCCAAAAGCACTTGTGGATTGTAGCTGAGCAGTGCAATGCTTGCCCCTTAGTGATCCGGGAAAATATGCCCAATATCAGACCATCTGAGACTGTGCACTGCACTGGACAAAGTAATAGCACGATGAGCGTGAAACTTTCAGACCTGTGAGTCCTGACTGTCTTACGTTATGATCCAGCGCCTCTTATTTGCCTCTCCAGAAGCTGCTATCCCAAAGTCCTTCTTGGTCACCTGGACATTATATGAATGCACCCACCTGCTAACGATGAAGGAAGATTGTCATAGAGTCAGTTCTTAATGAAGAGACTGATTTGCTACTGCCGTTCTTGTTGCCGAGATGAATGCCTACTTACCTCGTTGTTTACCTCCTTTGCATATTTTATATAGTCTCTCCGATAAATTCACCATTCGTTCTTATGGTGGAGTGATTTATGACACATTGTCTGCTGGCACTTACGGTGTCGACAACTCTGCGAGACGCCTAACAAACATCTGAAGCTGTTGAAAGGGCACGAATAAGTCGGTAAAAATTTGAAAGGTTTATTTTCCCTCTTTTATTATTTAAATATATTTATATTTGATTAGCCCGTCTTTTAAAATGTAATGTCCCAAAAAATGCAAGATGATTTACACAAACAAACATTAAGTACCACTTTAACACTTAAATTAGCAGTTGTTTCATCGTCGTGCTTCTTATCATCGATACAACTCGTAATTCCTTCGCTTCCTTTCGTTCTAGGCTCGAACTGAGTATGTAAGTGCACTAAAATTAACAAATCAAATTCCCATGCAACAAGATTATGCGTTGTTTTTTTTTTCAAATGCCAGATTGGTCGATGCGCCATTACATTGAAAAGTCATAAATTGCTGTTTTGATTTCGTAACCTCTAGGCAGTCATTTTGGGTATCCGATGTTAGTGATCTTACTCGGAATTCTCAAACGATGTAGAGCTTAAAAAACAAAAAAAAGCTACCACATCCTGCCTTTGCGTACTTCGAAGAACCTTAATTTGGTATATTTATTTCAGATATTTCGAGGATGCGCCGATCCCACCACTGCAGGAAGGAGCGTTTAAAATCAAAGGCCTGATCAAATATGGTGGCCGAATGCCGGAATATTTCTATACGCGATCCACCAACATCGATTATGTTCGATATCTGAACCTGGATCTCATTTTGCTGATTCCATCCCTAATCTGTCTTTTGCTTTTAGTAAAATAAAGCCTCAAC